TGAGTGAGTGTGTGAGTGAGTGAGTGAGTGAGTGAGTGAGAGTGTGTGAGTGAGTTAGAGAGTGTGTGAGTGAGAGAGAGTGTGTGAGTGAGTTAGAGAGTGTGTGAGTGAGTGAGAGTGTGTGAGTGAGTGAGAGTGTGCGTGCGTGCATGAGTGAGTGAGTGAGTGTCTCTGTGTGTGTGAGTGAGTCTCTGTGTGTGTGTGAGTGAGTGAGTGAGAGTGAGTGAGTGAGAGAGAGTGTGTGAGTGAGTGAGAGAGTGTGTGAGTGAGTGAGAGTGTGTGAGCGAGAGAGAGTGTGTGAGTGAGTGAGAGTGTGCGTGCGTGCATGAGTGAGTGAGTGAGTGTCTCTGTGTGTGTGAGTGAGTCTCTGTGTGTGTGTGAGTGAGTGAGTGAGAGTGAGTGAGTGAGAGTGTGCATGCGCACGCGAGTGAGTGTGTGCGCGTGTGAGTCTGTGTGAGTGAGTGAGTGTGTGTGTGTCTGTGTGAGTGAGTGTGTCTCTATGCAAGTGAGTGAGTGAGTGTGTCTCTATGTGAGTGAGTGAGTGAGTGTGTCTCTATGTGTGTGAGTGAGTGTGTCTCTATGTGAGTGAGTGAGTGAGTGTGTCTCTATGTGTGTGAGTGAGTGTGTCTCTATGTGAGTGAGTGAGCCTCTATGTGAGTGAGTGAGTGAGTGAGTGTGTGTGTGTGTCTGTGTGTGAGTGAGTGAGTCTGTGTGTGTGTGTGAGTGAGTGAGTGAGAGTGAGTGAGTGAGAGTGTGCATGCGCACGCGAGTGAGTGTGTGCGCGTGTGAGTCTGTGTGAGTGAGTGAGTGTGTGTGTGTCTGTGTGAGTGAGTGTGTCTCTATGCAAGTGAGTGAGTGAGTGTGTCTCTATGTGAGTGAGTGAGTGAGTGTGTCTCTATGTGTGTGAGTGAGTGTGTCTCTATGTGAGTGAGTGAGCCTCTATGTGAGTGAGTGAGTGAGTGAGTGTGTGTGTGTGTCTGTGTGTGAGTGAGTGAGTCTGTGTGAGTGAGTGAGTGTGCGAGTGAGTGAGTGTGCGTGTCTCTCAGTGTGTGTCTCTCTCTGTGTGTGAGTGAGTGAGTCTGTGTGAGTGAGTGAGTGTGCGAGTGAGTGAGTGTGCGTGTCTCTCAGTGTGTGTCTCTCTCTGTGTGTGAGTGAGTGATTGTGTCTCTGTGTGTGAGTGAGTGAGTGAGTCTCTGTATGAGTGAGTGAGTGAGTGAGAGTGAGTGAGTGAGAGAGAGTGTGTGAGTGAGTGAGAGTGTGTGAGTGAGTGAGAGAGAGTGTGAGTGAGTGAGAGAGTGTGTGAGTGAGTGAGAGTGTGCGTGCGTGCGTGCGTGCATGAGTGAGTGAGTGAGTCTGTGTGAGTGAGTGAGTGTGTGTGTGTCTGTGTGAGTGAGTGTGTCTCTATGCAAGTGAGTGAGTGAGTGTGTCTCTATGTGAGTGAGTGAGTGAGTGAGTGTGTGTGTGTCTGTGTGAGTGAGTGTGTCTCTATGCAAGTGAGTGAGTGAGTGTGTCTCTATGTGAGTGAGTGAGTGAGTGAGTGTGTGTGTGTCTGTGTGAGTGAGTGTGTCTCTATGCAAGTGAGTGAGTGAGTGTGTCTCTATGTGAGTGAGTGAGTGAGTGAGTGTGTGTGTGTCTGTGTGAGTGAGTGTGTCTCTATGCAAGTGAGTGAGTGAGTGTGTCTCTATGTGAGTGAGTGAGTGAGTGAGTGTGTGTGTGTGTCTGTGTGTGAGTGAGTGAGTCTGTGTGAGTGAGTGAGTGTGCGAGTGAGTGAGTGTGCGTGTCTCTCAGTGTGTGTCTCTCTCTGTGTGTGAGTGAGTGAGTGTGTCTCTGTGTGAGTGAGTGAGTGTGTCTCTGTGTGAGTGTGTGTGAGTGTGTCTCTGTGTGAGTGAGTGAGTGTGTCTCTGTGTGAGTGAGTGAGTGTGTCTCTGTGTGTGAGTGAGTGAGTGAGTGAGTGTGTATCCGTGTGTGTGAGTGTGAGTGACCTGAGCGTGTGTCGTTGCTCGGCGGGGCCAGCAGCTCCCTCAGATGCGAGTCTTTCAGATCCTCCACCCAGCTGAGGTCCAGCAGCCACAGACAGGGACACACCGACTGACAGAGCGCTGAGACCGAGGACCACGAGCAGCCCGCCACGTTCAGCTCCAGCAGCCCTGAGGAGCACAGAGCACAGGTCGACACCAGATCATCACTGAGCACACAATCAGAATCAAACCCTGGCCTTGGTATTGCTAGAGCCCTGCGCTACTGTAGGAGCTACAGGAATGCTCATTTGATCTAAATATGCTTATCAAATTACACATTTAAAATCATTCTGTTTCCTTCATCGCTTCGGTCAGACCAGTTGGTCTGGGATTTCTCTCACAACAACTTTTCCCTTTTTCACTCATCTGCCCAGAGGATTTCTCCTGGGACTGTTGTCAGAGCTGTATGTAGATCAGTGCTCTTGAAGACTTCTCTTTCTCTGGGTTCTTACAGTACTGTACTGACGGCAGGCTCAGACACACTTACGACGCTTCACATTAACACTCTGAATCAAGAGCAGGACCTACCTTGCAGACGGTTAATGAGCCACATGAGCTGTTTCTTGGAGATGTTGGTGTAGCCCAGGTTGAGAGACACAGGCTGTCGACGGATTATACTGCTCAGCATGGGAGGAGTTATGGAGCGCTGGCGGCTCAGATCGATCTGAGTCCATAACCTCTTATCACAGCACCTGCACACAAACACACGACACGCTTCAGACGTCTGACACAGAGGTGCACTGTATCTATCAGTCAATAACTGCAAAAAACACCATCTTACTATTATAAAAATAGCAGATTTTTTGTGCTGATAGTGGAATTTCCACTGGTATTTTCAGGGATAAATATTTGTGCTGTGTTTAAAGAGAGCTGCTGTAATGTCATGGGGCTTTCTGACACCTTGCCTTGCCGCAATGTTTCCCAAGATTCACAACTGTCATCATACGCTATTCATAGCAACTACTTGCCATTTTTGAAGTCAGCTGGACCAGTTTCGTGTTTTGTTGAATTAGTGCCACCAGTGCCATTTTTGCAGTTTAGTGTTAATAAATGCTCTTTCTGGACTGAAGAGGAAGGCTGGATTTAGAGAATGCCCTCATAGTACATCTAATGTGATCAATAAGTGACCTCTTTCAAATTTACCAGAGTATATACTTTGCATTATTAAGCAGTGTAAGAGTGTAAGTGTGAGAGTGACGTAGCTGTGATTGTGAGGGGTGTGATGTCTCACCAGCGGCTCCAGGTGCGGCACACACGCATGCAGACACACAGCTGCGGCTGACTGAGGTGCTGGAAGACGTGGAGCCAGACGTCCCGGGGCAGCACGTGTGAGGCTCCGCTGTCCAGCGGCAGGCAGTGTGGCTCAGGGCAGGCCGGTGGGGGTCGCACCAGGTGTCGCTCCATCTGCAGCGGCCGCGGCGGCGAGGGCACGGCCACAGCACTCCTCTTCACCAGCTGCGAGCGATGCGGAGCCAGAGACACGCTCCCCGGGTTAGAGGTGCCACTTTTTCCGTTCGCAGTCCCAGAGCCGGCTGCTGCTGTACCTGTGCTCTTGCTTGAGGGAATGCTCTGGCCCTGCCGGCTTCCTCCTCGCATTCTGCTACCACGAGCAGTCTTTACAGCAGCGTGCCGGTGATTGGTGACAGTACTGCTGCTGGAGTTCTCCTTCTCCTGCAGCTCTCTGCCAGCCACTCGCGTGCGGCCGTTGCGAGTGTCCTGGCCGTTAGTGCGCTTGGATGAGGACAGGCCTGCTAAGTGTCCGTGTCCGAAGGGCGGCAGCTGTGTAGCGGACAGCGGTGAGGACGGGTCCGCGGCACTGACCCTGTGACCCCGATCCCCTGCTCTGTCCTCATCGTCATCTGCTTCAGCGTCCACCACCACTCTACGCACCCGGGCATTCACCTCTCCTCTGTCTGCTGCTGCGCTCTCGCCGTCAGAATCCTCACTGGCACTGAAGCCCAGCTCGGCCAGACGCCGGTTCCGGTCTCGCATGCTGCCACTGTACACAGCAGCTGGAGAGGGAGGTTCTGAGGCGGCGGCAGGAGACGGAGAGTCCGAGTCTGACTCCGAGCCGCTTTCGGAGCTGGAAGAGGATGAGGAGCTGGAGTCGCGCACTCGCTCCAGGAGCTGACACATGCGTTTAAAGCGCTCCAGCTTCTCGCGGTGATGCGAGCGCTGGTCCTGGCTCGGGGTCGAGGGCTGCGCCGCGCCGGAGCCTCCAGCAGAGCCGTGTCCACCACCCAGAGAAGAGTTCGGCCCGTTCGCTTCAGAAGAATCCGAGGAGTTGGGTTTGGCTTTCTGCTGAAGATGTTCAAGACAGAAGATTACACTAGTGAAAGAAACTCACAACTCTGCATTTCACGTCAAGAGTAAGACTCAAGATCTCAAGAGTCGTACCTTCTTCAGGTGTTTATCGCGGGCAGCTTTGATCTGTTGGAGACAAACAGAAAGACACGCGTGTTCAAACAGGACCCAAGTGCTCATGACAATAGTGATCATGCATGGTTATGAGTGACGTGACTTCCTGCTCAGTACCATCTCTACAAACTGTGGACAAACACACACACATAAAAAACCAGACCAGTTTTTCAGTGAATTGTTTAGCAAGACATACCACTGACACTGCCAACAAACATTAAACCAGCATCACATAACAGGTGCCGTCACATTTCTGGTGGCAGAGAAATTCCTCTGCGTTTACGTTACACATGAGTCTGCAGTGTTGACAGTTAAAGAGCTCCTATTATGCGAGTTCACTTTTTTAGTTTTGGTTAGTGTGCAATGTTGCTGTTTGAGAATAAAAAAAGATCTGCTCTAAAGGGAGATATTCTCTTTTCAAGAACTTCAGCCAATGGTCCATTCGGACTACAGCACGCTTCTTCTGGATATTGTGAAGTCTCAATGTCACTCATTAAATCATTCCCGCTCACGGGCAAGGCCTGGCTGAGCTGCGATAGAGAAGATGAAGAAGAAGAGATCTTCAGGATCACGCTCCACAATGCACTGGGCCAGCCAACCAATCAGAGCACATTTCATATTTCAGCAGGAGAAACAGGAACTAAACAGGGCGTTCAAGACAGACTGGGAAGAGAGGTGCTGCAATAACGTATCGGTTGTTTTTCAGTGAATTGTTTAGCAAGACATACCACTGACACTGCCAACAAACATTAAACCAGCATCACATAACAGGTGCCGTCACATTTCTGGTGGCAGGGAAATTCCTCTGCGTTTACGTTACACATGAGTCTGCAGTGTTGACAGTTAAAGAGCTCCTATTATGCGAGTTCACTTTTTTAGTTTTGGTTAGTGTGCAATGTTGCTGTTTGAGAATAAAAAAAGATCTGCTCTAAAGGGAGATATTCTCTTTTCAAGAACTTCAGCCAATGGTCCATTCGGACTACAGCACGCTTCTTCTGGATATTGTGAAGTCTCAATGTCACTCATTAAATCATTCCCGCTCACGGGCAAGGCCTGGCTGAGCTGCGATAGAGAAGATGAAGAAGAAGAGATCTTCAGGATCACGCTCCACAATGCACTGGGCCAGCCAACCAATCAGAGCACATTTCATATTTCAGCAGGAGAAACAGGAACTAAACAGGGCGTTCAAGACAGACTGGGAAGAGAGGTGCTGCAATAACGTAAAATATGAAAAAAATCATGCATTTTTGGAACAATCGTGCATGAAAACCTATTCTAGTATAGCCTAAAAACCAAATCAAGACTTTGCATAAGGGCATAACAGGACCCCTCTAAAAGATCGGACAACAACAACAACACTGTAATGAAAAGGAAAGTTGATATGACGCGGTGGTAAACATGCTTCTGTCCCAACTCTTTTAGAGTGTGTTGCAGCCCTTAGAATCAAAATGTGTTTATATTTACAAAATAACTTTAAGGTGGCCAGTGAACACGTTGGATTTTTTTCTTTGTACTTTAGTCAATTAAATAAAGGTTAAAGAGAACGAACAAATCACAGGTTCTTGACTTTATGGCATTTCACCAAACATCCCAACTCTCCTGGAACCGGGTTGTAATTACTAGGGATGTGCATCACAACTAATTTCATTAACATTAAAACAGAACATTTCGTAACTGTCTAGTCTAACAAACCCTCAAAAGATGTCGAAAAACTGTCTGTATATACAATCAAAGAGCCTATTTAATCTAAGACTCAAAGAGTCCAGTTCCATACTGAAACCCACAGAAAAAAAGCTCATATTATATGTACCAGCGATATGCTTGCCCTACATTTTGATCCATGTACATTTAAACTCAAGCATTCACTAAGCCATTATTCCCAACATACTGTATATGTCCAACAGGACACAGCTGAAATAAATGCTGGTCAACACAAGTCAGCACATGTCAAGCTGTACTGGCAGCCGCTTGTGTGTGCGGGTTTGAACACGCTTCATGTGCATGAAAAACATCTGCACACACGACAGATGGCCAAATCAGGAGAAAAGCTTGAGGTTTAGCATGTTATTTAAGGGTATTCTATTCGTTAGGACACTGATATAACAACTGTTGTTGTCAAGTAAGTTTCATTCATCGTGTTTCCCCTTTAAACCAGTATAACATAACCATTAGTGTCCCTCATAACCAGCAGTACATGAGCAAGCTTATGACATATGTGACCCTGCAGCACAAAAGCAGTGTTAAGTCACTGGGGGATATTTGTAGCAATAGCCAACAATACATTGTATGGGTCAAAATTATAGATTTTTCTTTTATGCCAAAAATCATTAGGATATTAAGTAAAGATCATGTTCCATGAAGATATTTTGTAAATGTCCTACCGTAAATATATCAAAACTTCATTTATGATCAGTAATATGCATTGCTAAGAACTTCATGGACAACTTTAAAGATGATTTTCTCAATATTTAGATTTTTTTGCTCCCTCAGATTCCAGATTTTCAAATAGTTGTATCTCGGCCAAATATTGCCCGCTCCTAACAAACCATAAATCAATGGAAAGATTATGTATAAATCTCAATTTCGAAAAAATTGACCCTTATGACTGGTTTTGTGCTCCAGGGTCACATATAGCTTAAAGTAAAAAGAAGTTCAAATATATCTTCACAGTGGACATTCCTCTGAACCCACCACTCCAGATATATATATATATAAAATCTTTAAATGTAACGTTAACATGACCTTAATTTGAACATAGCCTTTGTAAAAAAATGTAAAACAAAACAGAAATAAATAAATGACTAGTCTTTCCGGTGTGGACTAGCAGGCGCAGTGTTGTTTAGTTGAGTAGTCTGGCCCACCCCTAACAACCACTATAGTTAACTCTCCCGTCACACTGAAACTGAATCTGGAGCCAGCAGGAAAGAGGACACCTGCTCTGTTGCACTCACCTTCTTTCTGGAGCCGCTCTCCTGGGGAAGCTCCTTGTCCTTCTTGCGTCTGGCTCCGTCTTCCAGAGACAGGCTCTTCTTCTTACTGGGAGGCGGCTCATCCGTCAGCTTCCAGCGACTCACCTCCCCATTGTCCATGCGCCTCTTCCCCAAACCATCTCCTTGATCCTGAACATCAGACCTGCATTAGTGTGATGTTTATTACAGTGAAGGCCACACACAGGAATGCTTCCAGAGCCGAGTCAGGGTCAGGGAGGGCATTTCTAAAGCTGTGGTGAGTACAGGCAGTGGCATCACGCACACGCAGAGCTTACACCTCAAACCTTAGCATCGAGTCTACATGCTTCTGGTTTAGATGGCTAGAATTACTATTAATACTAATATTGCCTATACGACAACATGTCTCAAGTGGTGAATCAATCATTGTGAGAGGTGAAAGTGCACTGGCTGCTGTGTGAACCGAGCATCTGTGCCTTCACTGCGTGACTCTGACACAGAAGCTCTACTTCTGAATGATACTGAAAGTCTAGCCGTGTCAGCTGTGATATACGGCGCTCTCGTGCCAACTGCATCTACAGTTCAGACCTCGACAGAAGCTCTTCTCCTGATGACACTGCTTCCTGCCTCTCTCCTTCACTCTACTAATACACCACGTTACGTGTGCTTTTCCATGTGTTCCCTTTACAGTTAAGTAAAGATGCAACCAGCTGGAAACTGTACCGCTATGGTGTACTTCCATACATTAATAAAGGCACCTCTGCTGGAAAGATGGCATCCCATGCAAAACATGACTGACTGCGTTGTGCTTTCCTACACATTCTTACTGATGCATAAAACTTTTGATTAAAACTCAAATTTAGAACAAGAAAACATTATCTAGGTCACAAAACTGAATTTGCAGCAATAAAGTGGAATCCAAAGCAGAAAACCTAACGTTCAAACAAGGATGCAGCCAGTCAATGAATGGAGGCCTTTCAAACACAGACACTGTGTTAAGATTAAGAACTAGTTTGAGCAACTAGCAGTTAGACAAGAGGTTATCAGTCTTACTTTTCAGACTCGCTACCGTTTTGTAGCTGACTTTATAAAGTTATGAGCAGTCTTGAAGAAAACAAATGAGATGACTAACTGTTCTGGCCCACTCTGAACGGGGCAGTGCAGGATTTGTGTGCGGTCTTACCTTACTGGTCTTTCCCTCCTTGTGGCACTTTGGACATTCCCAGCAGTTTGGAATCTCATCATTAATAATGCCTTCAGACTTGCCCATCTGAGGAGAGAGCTCAGCGTGTTATCAGCAGCCGTTAAGAGTTCAGACGCGCTCACTTTTAATCAGTTTTAACTCACAAACCTTGAGGCAGCTGGGGTGGATGATCTCGTTGCAGATGGTGCACTCCATGAGCGAGAGGCTGAACTTCTCCTCCTCCGACTCCACCGTGTCCTCCTTCCCTGCTTCACCGCATGCAAAACACACGGCTGTGTGCGGCAACACCGGCTGAGGAGGGCAGCAGAGTCAGTGAAGCCAGCGCGAGACGCTCTGATCCTAACCGTTACGATGCACTGATCACAGCTGGAGCACAAAACTACTGCGTCCCCCACCACCAGCCGCATTCAGAGGCGCTACAATCACCCAAGTCCACGCTTCACAGTGTAAATACTCACATGCTCGAATGCTTTTAAACCACAGCAAATACAAACACAAATCTACATACTGAAGGGAAAATGTCTGAAATCTCTGAAAGTGTGCAGTGGCTGTTAAGATGTCTTCTGCTTGAGTATGAGCATGTGACACAGGTTTGCTTGACTTACTGCAGTGCACTGCCGCAGCAGACAGGACTGCTTCATCCGGCCCGGTCCACCGAACTTCTTCATGTCCTTGCAGAAGTGGCACTCGCCGCACTCGGTCCGCAGACACGCCTGACAGCGCCGGCACCGTGTCCGCCGCCGCCGCGCCCCCCCCAGCACCTTACTGCCAGACATCCCCTCTGCATTCAACTGCAGAACAAGCATAAAACACAAGGTGTTCAACTCAGTCCCACACGTCTGCAGAACATGCTCGGCTCTTTTTATCGTCTATAATATCTGACTGACTGGAGTTGCTCTTTTATAAACACAAAAAGCTAACTACACACTACTAAACAAATGAATGCATACATACATACATAATATATATATATATATATATATATATATATGAGCGTGCGTGCGTGAGTGAGTGAGCGTTTTTGTGACAAATGAGGACATAAATTTGTATAATGACAAAGGTATGACAGGTATTACAAGGAGAAG